TCTGCCCCCCCTGTGACTCTGTATTGGATAAGGGATGAATGGAAGTGATTTAAGAACAGCACTGTATTGTAACGCTTACGGCCGACAGGCACTGTGTAAGAGCCGGCGTACCAGAGCAGGTGATGTCACCGCCCTTCCCTGTGATAGCAGGACTACAGCTACTGGACTGTAGAGAGAGTTCTCTTTAGCTCACGGGGCTAGGTCGCTGCAGAGAGACGTGGGAGTCCCGGGTTCGAGCCCCCGACGGTGGGGGGCCGACCTAATGCGGTAAGGGCGCCCGCCTGAGCCCCCGTTGCGTTACAGTATTTTATGGCTCAGCCACATTGTCCATTCCCCAGAGTGTTGACACACAAAAGCAAAGAATATTCTATTGGAAACTGGTTTTCACTACGGTAGCCGAGACACACTGTTGAGTCTCTTTTCTGCTGGGACAAACCTGAAACAAAATGAAGCAACATCTAGTATAGTACATGCTCTCTTGCCTCTGGTTAATTGTTGAACTGATTACTCGGCTTGCATCAATAACCAACAGAAACCAGGCCCTACAGGAAAGGAATCTGCCAGGTCTCAGACCAAACCACTGGCAGTATGAATTTTGTCCAGTGGTTCTGAATTGCACAGGTTTGGTTGAGAAAAGCCCAGTACGAAATCAATGAGATTTCAGGCTTTCAGCTGGGGGATTGAGATGTGTGTACAGCTGTCAGAGGGAGTGGGGAGGCCTGTAGCAATAACGCGTTGTGTTGAACAAACATCATTCATTCTGCAGCACAGCCCAGTCTGAAATGTCTAATAAAGAGCCTGGATCCTTACAGATGTTGAGCTGCTCTCCTGGCGCAGGCCTGTGTCTTCTGTGTGAAAAGGCTGTGAGCCAGCACTGCAGTGCGGAGTGCAACACTGACAGGCACTCCCCAAGAACTGGCGAGGTTCCTGTGTCTGCTGGACCTGCACTTGTACCAGAGAGATACACCCAGTGAAGATTAGCTTCCCAGAACTGCCTGCTGCATTGAGCTGCCAAGTGCAGATAAGAGAAATTACGGTGCTCAGCCTGCACCCAGCCAGCCCCCAGCTTAGCAGCAGACAGAATATGTGTTTTTTCTTTTCAATTTTTAACTCACATGCAACTTGTTTTGTTCCCCGATGCAGGGATAAGATTAAATAGACTAAATAAGTGATGCCCTAGCTCCCGTTAATTTTTGAGATTCTGGAATGTGTTTCTAAAAGTAATTTTTTTACAGGTTTTAACTCCTCCTCATCTAAACATACTGCTATGGATTGCATAGATCTTTTGAAGTTACATTTTACATGATGTGTGGCTATTCATGAAGTTGACATGAAAGGAAAAAACAGGACAGTATTTTAGAGTCACTGCTAGTTATAGTGCATTGAGTCTTGTTCTCTGCAGGATCCTGCGCAATGGCTACGGAGACAGTGATGTTATTTATGAAAGCAAAATCACCCGAAGCACTTAACCGCTTCCCATGGATACCCAATCCTCACATTAAATTCTGTATGAACTAGTATTGAGCACTTCTGCATCACCAACTCTCGCCAGCAGAGGGCACTCTAACAACCCTCCTGCCTGCCTGATTTATCTCTGCACACAGCTGACAACACACACTACAGGTCCATCTAATCGACGGCTGTGGCTCGATCTATGTGGCACTCAGCGATGCTCACGGCTCTATAATCTATGTAGGACAGCAGAAGAAGAGTGCATTCCGCTGAGCTTTATCTCCCGCCTCGTTTTATGCGCGTGTTGGGAGATTGGCAGAAAGCAATTCAAGACACAAGCTTCAGGAAAGCGCTTGCCTGTTTGTCACGGAGGGGAAGTCAAAGAGGTTAATTCCGTGCCAAGAAGTAAAATGAAAGGAGATCAACAGTATTTTTACACCACCCTTTCTATCTGCATCTTTTCACAGAGATTCAAAGACCCCCACACCAGAAAGACTACAGAAGCCAAAATTAACGTTAATCAGGATTCGCACTCCCAAGATCGACTATTTTTTTCTCTCTGTTCCCTTACAGATTGCAACCTTCCAGACTTCCCGGGGGAATTCCTCGCCCATTTTTTAGTACGTTTTCCACCTCTTGACACTTTTCTCGCAAATTCTTTCTTCAGTTCTCCCAGATCCACTCCTCGCATTCCCGCTCTCCCCACACACGGAAGAGGCTTCGCAGCTAAACCGCGTTTTTCTCTTTCGGTGCGGAGTCCGCCTCTTGTTCAGTTGAGACCTCACAGTCCGGACCCGACATAGTTCGCTAGGTGCCTTTACCACATTTCCCCCGTAAACCTAACACCAAACTAACACTCCTGAGAGGGGAACAACCACCTCCAGGGC